AGACGATCTATTCCTTTTTCTCCGCTTATTTTTTGAGGTTCCCATTCAATTTCTAGCAAGAATCTCGGGAGACATTTTTTTTGCGCGACATGACTGCATCCCACACTTTTTTCTCCCCTCTCACCAACCCTGCTCCGGTCTTTCGACGCAGCCCAACGTCAATGCGGGGGCACTTGGTGGTACTTCATTGCTACATTCCAAAACCAGGTCAGGCAAAATTCAGCTCTGGAAGGCAACAATGCAAGTATAGATACATGGAACGGAGAGATCTTTTGCCCTTCTCTGCAGTTATTGGGCCAAGCAAGGAGCTATTCTCATCACCAACTCATCCAATCGGTCATGGTTCCTTTGTCCATGTAAAAAGCCATTTCCCGTTTGCGCAAACAGCTGCAACATGCAGCTTTTTCCGCCTTTGCCAAACGGCACCGAAACACGGAGTGGGATTGCCCTGCTTTTTATCCCACACCCACATTCGATAACACCGAGTCGAGTGACTCAGAGAGATTGTCATCTTGTTCCACTCGTTCCTGAGATAACTACACCCCGCTTCCGGGGAAAGGTTCGATCTTGGTTATATCTCAACATTGTGATGCATAAAATACCTCCTGATATGGCCGAGTGTGGAGTGTACAAGCTCCAAAAAACCAGGCCAAATTAATGACGAATACAGACCTCAATTGACGTATCGCTATTACATTCACATGTGGGACGGTGACTCGGGAAGTAGAGGCAAAAGGATGTCACACCCACAGCGGGTGAAGCAGGGGATGATGGTGGGATGGGGGAGGGTCGCAGGGGCGGCAGGGATCTGCATGTCTTGGGGGAAAAAACCACTTTACACGTTAGCGCCGCGGTGCCGCGTCGCCTGGCTGTCCTCCACCACATTCTCATCACCGACCTCCCATCCGTGCCACCCTTCCCCTCCCTGTTCGACCTTTTTCATTTGCGGGTCATTGACTCCTTTTGTTGAGGTTACCCCCCAAATGCAGAGGTGGACCAGGCAACCATGGGTTTCATGGTGTACGAAGGAGGACCCATTGCCGTAGCAGCATCTCAATCGGGAGAGAAAATAAAACAAAAAATTTTCCTGTTCAAAATTGCCTTGTTTCCTCTGTGTCTTGGTTCCTTTTTTCATGTATTTGTTGAGGAGCAGTAGTCGGGCAAACAAAAAAAGGTATGTCCCATGCACCACTCTCCTTTTTCGGCAAAGGGTGTTCTATGGACCAAACAGGCCAATCGTTTCGTCTCATTGCCAATGGACCAAGAGGAGGCGCTGAATGCGGGATAAGGACCTACCTGCCTTATTATCTTGGAAGAAATTTTCCCTCTCTCTTTTCTTTACCCTCTCCCATTCAAAGCAAAGGTCGAAATACCTCAGCGGAGGACCGTCCCGATCCCCACGCGCGGCCTGCCCACCCCTTTTCTTCGTAGCACTCTCTTTTTGATGGTGAAACGGGAATATATTTCAAGCAGCCTCATCATCACCACACAGTGACTCACTTCTCCACAATCGATCGGTGGCATTTGGTCTCTGTGATCCTTGTTAGGCTCAAGATTGAGCTGTGCTCTTCTGCTCACGTTTTTCCCTCCCGACTTTTCATCAACCCATCGAGGAGCGCGGTCGGCTTCATCCTCTTCTTCATCATCCTCCTCCACCATCGATTCTCGACTTGCTCCATCGACCACTCGGTTGTCGCCATCACTCTCTCATCATCCATCATGGCCGCCAACGACAATGCAATGAACCGGTTCCTGTTTGCTATCCTGCAACAGAAATGCCTCAAGGATGTAAGTTCCCTCTTCAAGGGTTTGGCTGGTAGCGCTAGTCAACATCAACACCATGGCTGACCCACCCATCATTCAGATCGATTGGAACAAGGTAGCCAACGACCCGTGTCTCATTAGCCCGATTACCAACGGCCATGCCGCTCGCATGCGATACTCGAGATTCAAGTCGTCCGTACTAGGCATTGAGCCTCAGAAACGAAAATCCGCCGGCGTCACCAAGAGCACTGGCACCAAGAAAAAGAACAAGAAGAGTGAAGCAGCATTAGCCGCTGCCGCCGCTGCAGCTCTTGCTGAAAAGGATGAATCAAAGCATGAGGGTGACGAAGCTTCGAATAAGGGCAACGCCGACGTCAAGATGGAAGACACCGCCACTACACCTGGCGCCGCCAGCGCGACAACAACAGAAACAGCACCAGTCACTATCAAAACTGAACGTCGAAGCGTCTCTGTCCAACCTCCCACAATCAATACAGGCAACCAGCAACCACAGCAGCCTGCCGCGCCGATGACTATCAACAACAATCAGCAGCAGCAGCAATATCAAATCGCGCGTCTAACACCTCCCCCGACGGTCATCAAGCAAGAAACAAACGCGACCGTCGCGATGTCGTCTGTTCCGACCGAGCAATTCAGTCCGACAAACTCTACATACACCCCGACGACCACTCTGATCAACACGAACAATCACAATCATACCAATACCCACGAGGTCATTCGTCTCATGACACCCTGCAGCGACTCTGATATTCAACAGTACACAGCTGCCACTGCTGCCTCTCAGCAGCAACAACAGCCGACTCCTACCGAATACCACTACCAACCCCATCATCAACAGCAGCAGCACACTCCATCCCCTTACGACCATCATCAAAACCATTTCGACGCGACTGCCGCTTGGGCACACCACAACCACACTCAAGCCCACCAACATCACACCGTAACCAGCCCGGCAAATAGTGTTTACTCCGCTGGCTTCGGCGGTTACACCCACGGCATGGACACGTACTCTCCTTCTCCCACTACTACTACTACTGGGTTCTGCGATACTACACACAATCCAGCTCAGCCCATGTTTAACCAACAGCATCAACACCAGCAAGTTGAGATGATGGGCATTGGCATGGGTCTTCCTATGCCTGCCTTTGGTATCCCCGGCGTGGCGAGTGTGTCCCCTTCCCCCAGGGTCAAAGGGGAGGATGTAGTTGCTGGTGAAGGATGGGGACAAGGGGACTTTGCTTGTTAAGAACCCTATGTCAAACAATACTAACAAAGCCTAACTAAAGGCAAAACATAACTCGAACACGGACTGGATTAGGATAAGGTTTGGATTATTGGGAATAATGGAGGTAATTTGGATAAACAAGACTGGGACTCGGAAAAATTTGATTGCTATTAGGACAATTTGTATGAAAGGATGAGAAGGTTTTTTGTGTGCGCTTTTTCTCTCCTCTTCTCTTTTCTCTTTTTCTCCTTGGCTGTTCTATCTTAGGGTTTGGCTTTGCACCTTTCTTTTGGGCGCTTGATTTTTTTTGTTTTTCTTCTTTCTTATCTACTAAGGTTACTTTTTTGGATGCTTGTCTGTTGATCTTTTTGGAAAATTATGGTGTTGTATGATAGGAACTTGCCTACTCGGAGGTTATCAATGAAATGAAAACAAGATGATGATGATGATATGAAAGATTAAGGAGTTGGTTTCCGTCGCTTCTTCCTACTGGAAGCAAGTAGTGATTTTCGCTCTTGGAGTAGCAATCATAGCCTCGTCATCGTGTGTCTTTCCTACCTTATTTGCGGACTGGGGTCATCGTCGTCGTGGCAAACGACTTGCAACTTTCGCACTTTTCTGCCCAGTCATGTCCGAGCGGAACTGTCACTTAAAAACATGGATTCATTGATCTCTCCGATGTGGCTGCAGACAAACTACGTTATCTCCTAACACCGTCTATAGTACCGCCATTGAGTGTCTTTTGATGTTCTTGGAGAACGGAGTCATCATCGTCGTGGCAAACTATGTCCAGTCTTGTCTACGCTTGCACGGCTTGTTCTTGCCAGTTTACGCCTCGTCGCCGAAGCAGAACCATCATCACCTGATGGTGTGGTTTCATTGGTTTTCTCTAGTCTAGCATTCCACATTTCCCAAATCCCAACGAGCAGGATCATCAACATAACCCACAATTCCATGAACCATCATGCTCAATCGAAAAAATTTCAGCCTTGATCTGAGAGCTACGGGGAAAACTTGCTTAAGCGCCCAACCGGCCAACCCCCCAGTCCAATGTCTCGGAATCTTTTTCTCAGCCTGCATGAATAGTTCCATATTTCCAAAACGCCTCCTGCCAGCCAGCCAAGCGGCCACTAGACGGATGCACAAACAAAAGTAGGATCATCATCACGAAATTCATCATTTTTTTTGTATTCCGTATCTACACTAGGCTGAGGGAAAAATTTTCATTACGCACTACACTATGGTGTACTCAGGCCCCTTTTTTCCTTTCTTTTTCCTGTGCAAAAATTTTCTACAATCCCGTATACTCTGTATTTGCTTTCTTTTTCCTTGTTATCCCCGCTTTTTTCGTCATATTTTATCATTTCTGTCAATTTTTGTCATATTTTTCTGCACTTTGACGTTTTATACTTTCTTTTTTTCTTCTTTTTTGCTTGCGAGGCCTTTTCTGTTATCTCTTTTTTCGCCCCTTTCTATCGTCTTTTCTGTCATATTTTTCTGCACTTTTACAAATCCCTGCCCTCGTATGCTTTCTTTTTCCTGCCACTACGGCCAACTTTTTCTGTCAGGTTTTCTTTTCTTTTCAGCTGATACGGACCTGTTTGTATACGGAACTACGGATACGGATAGCACGGATACTACTTTTTTGTTTGCTCAATTGGTCATTTGGATGTGTCGTGGCAAATAACGAGTGGCTTAGCAGCGTGGGAGTAGGGATTTCAGATTCTCAGTGTCAACCTCCCGAGTGGTTGCATAGGTAACTATCGATCATCTGTAAAGAAATGGGGGTTTGATGATCTGATGAGATGTTTGCACGGTTGTTTGTAAACTATTTCTGTTGTATCATCGTGATCGGATTGTGACCATTGGCAGCCAGCCTCGTTATAGGTTCGGGGCAACGCGGGTTTCTCTGCTGCTGTATGCATCAAAAGAGTTCCTCAAAAAAGATATTTTCACAACTGAGCAAGCAGATGTGATGATGATTAATGAATGACAATTGTGAGATTCGAACTCACGCCCCTTTCGGAGCACGGAATCTTGAACGACTCAAGATGTGAATCAAGGATAGACCCTAACGTGGCGCCCTTGGACCGCTCGGCCAAGTTACCTGGGCTTGATGACTTGTTGATGTCGAGTTTTATGGAAAGTTATCCATAAAGAGAAAAAAAGTTTTGTTTTTAATGTTGTTATTGTTTTCTGAGAACTTTATTTGTAGCTATATTTACACCCTCGACTTTATATATGCCGCCCATTTCCCCGGAACCGAGGTGGAGCTGCTGCAGAGAAGTAGGAGAAAATCTGCATGCATGAAACTGTTGGCGAGTCATTACTGTTGATTGTCGATGAGAATGTTGTCTGTCCGCGGTCTCCCTGAATTAATAACCTCAGCGGGTCATCTTCTGGGTTTTTGTCTTTGTTGGTATACAGCCGTTCTCAAATGTTCTCTCGATGTTCGGCTTGACTGGTGTGAGACATATGAAACACTTGATTCCTGGGTTCGCACGGGGCTTTTGCTCTTCGTGAGGATCCCAACTGTGCCTGAGCTTTTCGGAGCTTCTCCGCGTTGGCCTCACAAGGCTGGGCTCTGCCGCCATGGTTGGAATTGAGGTCCATGCTTCTTTTGAACACTAGCCCGCCATATTTTGATCCTTAACTGGGTTTTTCTCTCCAAGTTGGCCTGCCTAGAAAATTGTCAACTCCGATGCCCGATGCCGTTTGCTTAGAGGATTGTTTGTATACAGCAATGTTGGGTGGGGAGATTTGGTGGCACGCCGAGTTCTTATTTAGGAGTTGCGGGAGGGTCTCCTGGGTCTGTATTGGTTTCTCCGGATGTGGGTGTGTTTGTGATAAGTCGCCTATCGTGACTGTCCAATGAGTTTGTTCCTTGCTGATAATAATTTTGAGGCCCTTCCACGTTGCGCTTCTGTTAGTTGATGGTCACAATCGCCTGGCCACCAAACCTCTGTGACCCGGACCACTTCTGAGCAGCCACAGGCATATGTCGAGAGACATGGAAAATTTGACATGTTGAAGGCTGTGTTTGATCAGTATTTGCCGGAACTGAATGACGAATGATCAAAAGTTTATTGAAAGAAGAAAAAAGGGTTGTTGCTGTTGCTGCTACAGATAAAAGGATTTGAGGCACTTGGTAGCAGCCACCTATTTATCATTGTGCCCATTCCACTCATGATTCGCTGTCTGACTGGAAAAGGAAGCTTACATGGCCTGCCTTTTACCCGTCTGAGGTCTCTTTTCCCGCAGTTGAACTTGACTTTCACTTGGGTCAAAATACTTGAGTGGCAGGAACGACTCCAAATCGGGTGGTGGCTTGGAGTCATGACGTCTACGACCGGGAAACTGGGCCTCTACATGTAAGCTTTATTCGTACCTTAATTTTTACATTCTTTCGAAGAGATTCTCCTGCTTTACATCACAATACTGCGCTTACCTGGCACCTCTGAATCATCTACCGCAAGTCGCTCAACTTGGTTGGCTCTGGGGCATCACCCTTACCCTAAATGACCCTAACCCTAGCCCGAACCCTTATGACAACCTTACCTGTTCTTTCGACATCCATTCATCCTAAATATTTACTAACAAATTAAATTGCTTTCAGAAATTGCCCTGCTGTAGTTTCTGAATATATATTCAGAACACTTTGTCCGATCATGTTCACTTTGTTGGTTTTGCCATTGTTATGTCTGGAGCCTTTTCAAAGTTGTCCATCAATACCAGCCACGCAACGCAGGAATGGAAAATAAATGGAAATGATAATTGGCAAATAATTTGCATTTAATGATATCTTCAATATTCAGCTTCTGCACTTGGCAACACTCGTATGGTAGCAGTATGATATGCAGATTTAACATATGTGCTGTGTTGCCCAATATCCAACGCAACCAAGCTCTCGACATAACCATCGAATAGCTGCTGCGTGCATTAATTCTTGGAATTCAATGCAAATGTTTCTATTGGTTCCTATCGTCATGAATCCATCTCAACTTTCTTACAATGTCTCAATCTAGATCCGAGTTCCAACCTCACTTTGTTTGTCAATATGCCATGTTTTCATACGGATTAAAAGCTGCCAATCTGCCTGTTGATCATACTTTCCAAAAGTCACCTCAATTATAATCTGATCCGATCTTTGAGCTCACATGATCAATAGAGTCCCGCTTTTAATCCCAATTTTCTGGTCTTTTGCATCACTGGACGGAATCATATGGAACACATATAAGTGGCTTTTTCGTTTCAGGGCACTGAAGGCAGTAACAATCCTGGTTGTTGTAGCTTCTTTTTAATGGAATAAATATGTTTCATCGTGGTTTCTTTTGGTTTGTTGTCCACATCATCCGATCTTTCATCCAGCGTCTGTGTTAGCAATGAACGAGTATTTTTCTTGCTTTGTTTGTTTGTCTGAGAATTCTATGCCATGAATGCCCGTCTGATTTGCAGTTTGTTGGTCGATGATGAGCCTGTTCTGCCAAAATTGTCGAACATTCATTCACGCATCGTCCAGGGCAACAAGTCACATTGATTGCTTGCTTTCCCTCATGAAGTCGATTTTTCCTGGAAAAAAAAAAGTCCAGCATCGGCATTGAAGGATAGGGAATATCATTGAAGGCGTGCCGTTGTTAGAATCCGGAGGATTCCGTGAAGGGACTGCTTGTTCCGGTCGTGTTGCATTCCAACCCCCATCCAGCAGATCTCATTCCACCTGGCGGGCATTGGTTCTGTGACAATACAACCAATATTTGATGCTTCCACTCTGTTTGACGACATTGGTCACCGGGACGATTGTAAGAATGGGTTCCGCAGCTGCAATTCTATTCACTCGGAATGTTTGTTGATAACTGCTGGCCTGAAAAGTGAAAATTTGGCTTACCTTGACGGACCTTTCACTCTTTGGGGTTGTTTAATCTTCTTTGCCCATTTAATTCCTTGTTATCATGAGCTTCTTTATCTTGAACAGATGTATACGATCATCGACGGCTTCTCTTCGTCCTGATTTGGCCAGAATATCGGTGTCCTTTCGTCTACTTGCTACAGCATCACTGTTTCGAGGTTGCCAGGCCAGTCAATTGCTGTGTGGTCTTGCTGACCTGGAAACGCTGACCCCCATGTTTCCTGTTGCAAATGCTAACCATGGAAACTGTAATAGGAACAGATCATGACAAACCCCTTGGATATCAGACGATCAATGTAGCCTCGTGAAAATTTTGGTGGGTCGTCCAATCATTGAATGCCGTTACTGCTCCAAATTCTAACAATCAAAGTCCAACTGACCTAGCTCCCTCAGGTGTGACTCGAACAAACAAAAGTCCCAAACTTCGAAATACCCTCACAATTTCAAAAGATGGGATGAAATAAATCAGACGGCGACCCACTCGCCGAGAGCTTTATGATCCACGTATACCACGAACACGCGTATTCAACTTCAGATGAAGTCGGCCATCGAAAAACCATCTGAAAGTCAAATCGTCTTCGACTCACCCGCGATCATTCCTACTTTACTTATGTCAAATTATAACTTTGCAACAATTTCCAGGAAAACCTCAATCATAATCCACGTGTCCACGAACACACATGACCAAAATTCGTCTGAAGTCTTCACCATTTCGACTCACCAACCACAATTACACAGGAGTTTGCAAAAATTTCCACGACAACTTCAATCACAATCCACGTGTCCACGAACACGCGTATTCAAAATTCGTCTCAAGACTTTACAATCGGCCGCGATCGTCTGGACTTTTTATATTTCAAAACAACAAGTTTGCAAACAATTTCCACGAGAGCCTCAAACACAATCCACGTGGCCATGAACACGCGTTCGTCTGAAGTCTTTACAATCTCAACTCACCGACCACAATCGCACCTTCAAAACAACAAATTTGCAACAATTTCCTCGAGAACCTCAGTCATAATCCCACGTGGCCACGAACACGCGTTCGTCTGAAGTCATACCAATTCCTCCTCCTCACCGGCCACAATCGAACCTTCAAAACTACAAGTTTGCAACAATTTCCAGGAAAACTTCAAAATTATAATCCACGTGGTCATGAACACGCATACCCAAAAATCGTCTCGTCTCAAGTCTTTAACAACCTCAACTCACCGACCACAATCGCACCTTCAAAACTATGGGTCTGCAACAATTTCCTTGGGAACCTCAATGGCCCTATTCTCGTGCATAAAATGCCAATTTTTCTCGGCAGAAACCTTTTTTTTCTTTTCATCAACAATTCCTCACACTCTTGATCAACAACCCGCGCTGACTTTTCGATATTCCCCTCGAATCCGACTTTTTTCTTCCTTACGCAAACATACTCCTTCCGTCAAACCCAACTTCCCTTTTACTTCCCTTCAACAAACAAACATCACACCGAGAAGGTTGTCGCCGTCATCATGCCTCCCAAGCGCAATACCTCCAACACCGTCCAGCCCAAGCCGTGGGATAACGGCATTGTCCCGTCGGCTCAGGAAACCTGGTTCATGCTGTCGGTCCTGTGCCATACGACTGGCAGGCCTGAGATTGACTGGAACGCTGTTAAGCGCGATATGAACTATGCGAGCTGTGATACTACGAAGGTTAGTTTTTACATATGTTTTACTGTTGATAAAATTATTTTGTTTTTTGTTTTTTGTTTTTTGTTTTGCTTTTATTCATTTTTCAGCAATATCATTATCATCTTCATTGTTGATTCTCCCCTACCTTTTTCTTTTCATGTAAGTCAATCGTTCTATTCGGTATCTTTTTTCTCATTATCCTCTTCATCTCTTTTTCTCATTTTTTTAGGTTAAACAAGTTGATCAATGTACTCCTTATCTCTATTGTTCTGTTTATTTGTTTGTCTTGGCCGTTCTTGTCTAGCAACCCCTATTCAACACAGCAATTGTGCTCCACCCAAACAGCATTACCCCTATTCAACACAGCAATTGTGCTCCACCCAAACAGCATTACCCCTATTTCACACTCACACCTTCTCACCTCAACATCTCTCAAACCACACCACTAACTCCTTCCAGGTTCGTTGGGGCCAAGTAATGCGCAAGCTCAAGCGCGACGACATCAAAGACGGCAAATACGCCTATCCCGGCTACGACA